AATCTTGTCTGTTTGTGCAGATGCTCCATAACGATCAGTTAAAATATGTTCTGTTGATTCTAAATAACAATGCAGGGGATTTTGGTGTCAGTATATAATGTTTTGGCTTAGTTTGTATTGACTAACAAAGGAGTTTTCAAAGCTAACCCCCTTTCAATCATTTCTATGCCCAAAGCTAGTTCATAAAAGGGAGTACCCGGGTCATTTAAATGAACCTTAGGCTGCAAATAGATCATAAGACCTTGGAATAACGTACTTTATTGGAATGATTGACTGTGATTGATACTTACATCTATACTCGGGAACTCACACAAGGAGACCAGAGAAAAATCTTTATCAATTATTAGCAGGGTAATAGGAAGGCTCTTTGGTGTTGTCTTAATTGCAGGGAGCAAAGAGACTCTTGAAACTACACACACAGAGAAATGCTTAAGCTGCAGGAAAGGAAGGAGAATATAGAGAAGAGAAAGCAGGACTAAAATGCATTATTGTTGTCAGTGTTTTGTAATTGCAAGTCATTCCTGACTTATCATAGTAAACATATCATGACAAGATGTGTTCAGAATAGGGTTCGCCTTTGTCTTTCTCAGAAGCTGAGAGAGTGTGACTTGCCCAAGGTCCATGGCCAGCCACCAGGGTTGTGGTCAAACACTCATACCAGTTTGCCACATTGGCTCTTAGGTAAAAGTAAAGGTTTGCCCTTGACATGAAGTCTACTCATGTCTGACTCTAGGGGGTGGTGCTCATCTCCATTTCTAAGCCAAAGAGCTGGCATTATCCATAGACACCTCCAAAGTCATGTGGCCGGCATGACTGCATGGAGCACCATTATCTTCCCGCTGAAGTGGTACCTATTGATCTACTCACATTTGCATGTTTTTGAACTACTAGGTTGGCAGAAGCTGGGACTAACAGTAGGAGCTCACTCCACTCCCCGGATTTGAATCTCTGACCTCAGTGGTTTAACCTGCTGCGCCACTGGGGGCTCCACATTGGCTCTTAAGGTAATACAAATATTTGCTTGTATGGCTTTCTTTGATGATCTCTATAGCCATCTATGAAATGAAGTAGGTGTTTCAAAACTCTGTTCATAAAGGAAGGCAATGATATGGGAAAGGTCTCATTCTTGTCTACAGAATACTAACATAGGCAAAATAGATCTCTACGTTCATCTTGTACGTGACAAAAGGGAGGAAGCACATAGATGTGTTCGAGAAGAACTCACATTTTATAAGCTGCAAGTTGGGAAAGTGCTTATGCAGAAGTGAAAGAAGCCATAAACTCCCTGGCTTTTGGAAAGCTCTTTTCTTCCACCCCGCCACAGAGATTCATAAAACAATTCCTCCACTCTTTAACCTCTCCCTCTGGTTATCCAATAAAATGACACTTTGCCAAACACATTTTTTTGTAAATCACAGGATATATGAAGCTTGGGAAGTTACCAGCCTAGCTCTATATGAGAGGAGTTAGGAAAAGAAATCAATAATCTCTCTGAGATGGCCCTGCATCTCCTCCTGCAGATATACTTTGGGGTGAGGGAAGCAGAGAGGGGATTAAAATAATAAGAAACAGCCAGTGTCAGGATTTCAAAGGAGAGGCTTGACACTTCCCATTGATCCACAGTAGAGCACGAACTGGCTAGTTAATACAAATCTAGTGTCATACAGATAACCAAGCTGCCTCCTCATTTGAAGAAAATGTCAATATTTCATTTTAAAGAAATGAGTAATATTTTTGGACATTACTGCTGCTTAAAATAGAAACTGGGGTGCGGGTGGTCTTTTTAACCATTCTGATCACACTATAGCAATACACAGCTTTAGGAAAAGCAGATGCTCCTCCAACTCCCAACAAATTCAAATATGGTCATTTTTCATATTGCTTTACAAAGAAATGAGAGATGATCTGGAAATTGGGTACAGATAGGAAGAGCTCGGTTGGTTTCTAAGCACTAGCCTTTGTGGTGTTTCTTCTGAGGGCACAAAGGGACCCTTTCAAGAGCACACACACATCTATGTTGCACCTTTAAAGAACTGTCTAAACAGACCTCACAACCTCTGAGGATGCCTGCCATAGATGCAGGCAAAACGTCAGGAGAGAATGCTTCTAGAACATGGCAATACACACCGGAAAACTCACAACAACTCAGTTTCAGAACTCATCCAGAACCACTGTTTCCACCAAATTCCACATTCCCAGCATATAAAAAGAATGCACTTGTCACTCATCTTCTCTCCCTGGAAAGGAAACATCTACCCTTGTCACTGTGCAGAGTTGATGGCGCCGGGCTTCAGAACGCTAAAGGTGATATCCACCACTCAGAAACATGCCCTGAAATCCAAAGACCATGATCCCCTAACAACTTCTCTTTCCCTCTTCCTTCCCTCTCTTAACCTCTAGCAAAGAGATTCTGCCCTCCCTTGTCTTTCCCAAGAGAAGAAAGGGAACAAACCAAGGCATAGATGAACTGGTTTTCCCTCAAATCCCACTCTATAGAAGCAATCAGATCATCCAGGGGCTCTTCCGCACAGTCATATCACCCAGAATATCAAGGCAGAAAATCCTACAATATCTGCTTTGAATGGGTTATCTGAATCCACACTGCCATATATCCCAGTTCAAAGAAGATAGTGTGGGATTTTATTCAGCTGTGTGGAAGGGGCCCAGGATACAAATATAACAAGCCTATGCTTCCAACCCTGCCTTGAGGAATCAAGGTTGAATCCACACTGCCATATGATGCAGTTTGAACTCATATAATGTACTGTGTGGGTCTGAACTGACCATATATCGCCATTCAAACTGCATTGCATGGCAGTGTAGATCCAGCCACTGGTAAACTGATACTCAGTAGAAGAAATTCAAAAGATAAAGACATCATTGGGTACATATATATTTATAAGTCTATGCTTTCAACCCTGCCTTGAGGAATCCACACCGCGATATGATGCAGTTTGGACCCATATATAATGCACTGTGTGGGTCTACACTGATCATATATTGCCATTCGAACTGCATTATATGGTACTGTAGATCTAGCCACTGACAAACTGATAATCAGGAGAAGAAATGAGAAAATAATCATTGAGGACACGTATATGCACATGTCTATACTTTCAATGCTGCCTTTTAAGAATCTAGGACTGGGTTGCTTTGAGTTTTCCAGGCTGTATAGCCATGTTCCAGAAGCATTCTCTCCTGAGAATGGCAGTCATCCTCAGGGGTTGTGAGGATGCCTGCCAGGGCTGACTTAGGCTGGATTCAGGCTGGATCTACACTACCCTATATCAAAGGATCTGATCCCCGATTTTATTTTATTTCACCAGGAGCGACTTGAGAAACTGCAAGTAGCTTCTGGTGGGAGAGAATTGGCCAACTGCAAGGACGTTGACCAGGGGGCGCCCAGCTGTTTTACAATCCTGTGGTAGGCTTCTCTCGTGCCCTCACACAAGAAGCTGGAGCTGACAGATGGGAGCTCACCCCGCTCCCTGGATTTGAACAGCTGACCTTTCAGTCAGCAGTCCTGCCGACACAATGGTTTAAACCATTTCACCACCAAGGGCTCCTTTTCAATGCCTAGGAAGAAAGGAACTGTAATCTTTTCAGTGTCTTAAGATTATAGTTCCTGTCTTTCTCAGCCAGTACTCATTGCACCACTGAGGGCTCACAGATCCCAGATGATTTGCTTTGAACTATAAGTCTACACTTCCAGGTAGTCTGGGATAAGAAGATAATCAGGGATCGGATCAGATCCAGGGATATAGGGCAGTGTAGAGTCAGCCTCAGATTTCAACTGCATGGCATGGGTCTGCACTGAGCACATAATGAAGTTTGAACTACACTATAGGGCAGTATAGATCCGCCTATTAGAGCCAAACTGTATGGCATGGATCTGCGCTGACCACATAATGCAATTGGAACTGCACTATAGGGCAGTATAGATCCAGCCTATTAGAGACAAACTACATGGCATGGTTCTGAGCTGACCACATAATGCAGTTCGAAAAGATCCGCCTATTAGAGCCAAACTGCATGGCATGGTTCTGAGCTGACCACCTAATGGAGTTCGAACCGCACTATAGGGCAGTATAGATCTACCTATTAGAGCCAAACTGCATGGCATGGGTCTGCACTGACCACATAATGCAATTCGAACTGCACTATAGGGCAGTAGAGATCCAGCCTATTAGAGACAAACTACATGGCATGGGTCTGAGCTGACCACATAATGCAGTTCGAACTGCACTATTTATTCATTTATTTATTTACTGTTTTTGTATACCATCCTTCTCAGCCCTCAGGCGACTCAGAGTGGTTCTATAAGGCTGGATCTATAGGGCAGTATAGATCTAGCCTATTAAGTTCACGCTGTATGACATGGGTCTGCACTGACCACATAATGCAGTTCGAACTGCATTATTTATTTATTTATTTACTGTGTTTGTATACCACCCTTCACATCCCTCAGGCGACTCGGGACAGTTCTATAGGGCTGGATCTACAGGGCAGGATAGATCTAGCCTATTAAGTTCAAACTGCATGGCATGGGTCTGCACTGACCACACAATGCAATTCGAACTACACTATAGGGCAGTGTAGATCCAGTCTATTAGAGCCAAACTGCATGGCATGGGTCTGAGCTGACCACATAATGCAGTTCGAACTGCACTATAGGGCAGTGTAGATCCAGCCACTTATCATGGGAAGAAGAACTCCATGGGGGAAAGCCACCAGAGAGTGGAGATGCTCCACCACAAGCCATTGACCCCGAATGGAGGAGGCTCTGCCCTTTTGCCACCGGGGCAAACGAGAGGGCAAGTCCTGCTTGGTTCCTAGGGGTCGGGGGGCGTTTGGAACCCGCTTTCCTTGCTCCCTGGTGTGCCTTGGGAAATGTGGGCGCCTGGGCAGAGCCCAGCCCTTGAGGGAAAGGAAGGAAAGGAGGAGAAGAGGCAAGGAGGCGAGGAGGAGGGGTGTGAGTCCTCGCTCACCTACCAACCTACCTGCAGACCCGCCTAGCGATCCTCCGTCAGGCCCCGGAGGGAAACTCCAGCCTTATGGGACTCGCATCGCTTCCCGAGCCCAAACCCGGCGGCAGCATCCAGGAGCCAAAAAGGGCGAAGGGGTGGTGGGGACTCCAAGGAGGCGAGGGAGGCTCTTCTTCCAAGCAAGGGCTACTTTCCTAGGGATGCAGAAGTTTCCACTCCTCTCAGATCGATCAGGAGAGGCGCTTTGGGGTCGGGACGCTGGGCTTGGCCCGCTTTCCGACCAAACAAAACACAAAGAGGCGAGAGAGGAAGAGGAGGAGGAGGAGGAGGAAGAGGAAACGTCGCCGCGCTCTCTTTAATCCGTCCAGGAAAGGAAAGAAAGGGGGGGAAACCCCACACACATATAATAAGTTAGTCTCACAGCCCTGCCTTGCCTGTATCAGTGATACAAGTGTACCAAAACTAAGAATTGTAAGAAAAGACACGGCCGTTGACTCTCTCTGGAGTGCGGCAGAGAGAGAGAGAGACTCCCACCTCCCGGCGCCCCGGTATTTATTCCATCTCGGCGGAGTGGGCTCGCCTTTCAGCACCACGAAGGGAGCCTGCTCTCTGCCGGGCTGCTCCTGGCCATGCTCCCCGCCTCTCCCTTCCTTTCCCCCCCAAGAAACGAGGGGGAAAAGAGACAAGGAAGCCCCTTCCTTGAGGCTGGACGTCTTGCTCCAGAGCGCTGCTTTCCGAGAGGCGTTTTCAGCCCGGAGTCTTGGCTGGCTGGGATGGAGGGACGAGGAGGGCGAGGTTCAAGGCAATCCCAGTCTCGGGGTGTCGCCCAAAGGGGTTCTTCGACGCCTTTCCCTTCAAGGGAAAGCCATAAGGTCTGCACTTCCAACTCGAGGGTTCTCTGATTCCACAAAGCACCAGAGACCGTCTCCCTCTCTGATTTTTTCCTCCCCCGGCTCTGTCCTCACGTCCTGCTCTTGACCCGCTTTGGGTGCCTCCCCAGATCTTCCTCGCAGGCTCTGATCCGGATGGCGTCCTCAAAGCGGCTCCCCAGCCCTCTCTTCCCCGCGCAGCTCCATCCTTTTGCGCCTCAAAGCGTCTATGAGAGAGGGAAACACGGAGTCTTTCACCTGAACCAGAGCCGGATCGGGAAGGGGCGAGGAAAAAACATCACGTCGAGGAAAAAGAGGTCGGCTACTCCGCTTCTCTCAGGGTAAACAGAGGAGGACGAAGAGGCGTGGGACTCCCTTCCCTTGGCCTTCTGCGGGAGGAATCCTTCCCACAATCACTGGGTTCTCATTCAGGAGCGTCGAGGAAAGAGTGCGCGCTCCGCTCGGGCTGCCTCCCTCCTCCTTCTTCTTCTTCCTCTTCTCCGCTTCGCTTCCCTCCTTTCTCCTCTCCGGCTGGAGCCAGAGCGCCCGCTGCCTGCTGCCGAAGACAAAGCGGCGCCGAATGCCTCGCAAAAGCTGGCCTCTGTCTCCCTCCAGTGGTCCAAGGGAATTGGGACGCAAGGCTGAGCAAGAAGGGGGCTTTCCCTTGTCCCCCACCTCTGCTACCAATGCAAGGGGCTTGCCTATAAAGCTACTAACTGTACCCACCAAGCGTTGCTGTAGCCAACCTTGCCTCCCTCTTTCTCTTCTGTCTTTCTCTCGTTCCTTCCTTCCCTCCCTCTTTCCTTCCTTCCTTCCTTCCCTTTTTTTCTTACTTTCTCTCCTTCCTCCCTTCTCTTCCTCTTCCCTTCCTTCCTTTTTCTTTCCCTTCCTCTTTCTCTCCTTTCTTCCTTCTCTACCTATTCTTGGATTGCAACTCCCAGCAGTCCTCCTGATCAATCTATCTACCTACCTTTCTCTATCTATCTATCTACCGCAGGCCCGGAGCCAGGATTTCGTTTCGGGGGGGGGGGGGGTGAATTTTTTTCAGGGGGGGTGTCGGGGGGTGCGTTTCGGGGGGGGCTGAGTCTGAGTGAAAGAGGGTCTACCTAGCAAACCTTTTGTATCATTACCCCAATACCCCCATGCATATGGGATATATTGAGCATGGTGATCAGATCATGATATGAATAAATATAACAGTTTAAATAATGTACCAGTAAGGCCTTCTCGCGGACCACCATGAGAATTTCGGGGGGGGGGGCTGAAGCCCCCCGAGCCCCCTCCCCCCCAGGCTACATGCCTGCCTGGAGGATTTCTGGGAGTTGCAGCCCAGGAATTGTTGTTGTTCATTCGTTCAGTCGCTTCCAACTCTTCGTGACCTCATGAACCAGCCCACACCAGAGCTCCCTGTCAGCCATCACCACCCCCAGCTCCGTCAAGGTCAAGCCAGTCACTTCAAGAATACCATCCATCCATCTTGCCGTTGGTTGGCCCCTCTTCCTTTTCCTTCCATTTTCCCCAGCATCATTATCTTCTCTTGTCTTCTCATGATGTACTTCAAAGTACTTCATCTCGGCCTCTAATATCCTTCCCTCCAATGAGCACTCGGGCTTTATTTCCTGAAGTATGTACTGGTTGGATCTTCTGGCGGTCCAAGGCACTCTCAGAACTTTCCTCCAGCACCACAGTTCAAAAGCATCTATCTTCCTTCGCTCAACTTTCCCTATGGTCCAGCTCACATCCATAGGTAACTACGGGAAATACCATTGCAGCCCATGAATAGGAAATTGGAAATATGCAGAGAATTGGATGCTCTCAAATAAACCTAAGGAGAAGAAATCTTGCAGCTTGGAAGCAGTGCATTTGGATCATCCTCCTCTCCTAATGGCCCTGGTCTAGTGGATGCTGGGAGCTGTGGTCTGGAAGAGAGTATTGATATGCTATTGTGTGTTTTGTTTACCAGGGAAGTCATTTTTGCACATGCGCTGTAGCATCTTTTTGCTTTTGGGGCTTTTAAAGTCCCTTCCGCTGTGTTTTTCAGTGTTATTATGAGTGATGGTCACTCATTGGCCTGTTAGGTGTATTGTGTCCAAATTTGGTGTCAATTCATCCAGTGGTTTTTGAGTTATGTTAATCCCACAAACGGACAATACATTTTTATTTATAGATTGTCCTCCCAACCCTGCTATATGCCTGCGAAACCTGGACTGTCTACAGATGTCACATGCAACTCCTCGGATTCCATCAGCATTGCTTCTGAAAAATCCTTCAAATCTCTTGGGAAGACAGGCGGACAAATGTCAGTGTCCTGGAAGAAGCAAAGACTACCAGTATTGAAGCGATGGTCCTCTGCCATCAACTCCGCTGGACAAGCCACATTGTCCCAATGGCCAATCACCATCTCCCAAAGCAGTTGCTCTACTCTGAACTCAAGAATGGAAAATGGAATGTTGGAGAACAGGAAAAGAGGTTTAAAGATGGGCTCAAGGCCAACCTTAAAAACTGTGGCATAGACACTGAGAACTGGGAAGCCCTGGCCCATGAGCACTCTAGTAGCTAGCAAACTGCAATGAAATCTTAATCTAACAATGCATTATGGGGAAATAAAATGTCAGCTAAAATGGGGGGGGGGGTGTCTTAAAACCATTTTTTAAACCAGAAAATCTTTGTTTAAATGTTCAATAACAAACAAATGTAATTACCCAAACCAGATTCCCCAATCTGATGTGCTCCAAATGTATTGGACAACAAATCTGCTAAGTCTCAGCCAGTATTAGGTGCTGAGACTACAAATGGTGTGAGTTGTAATCCAACTAGTTTAGGATAGATTGTATTAGAAAAATTAAACTGGAAGTTACCTCCATTATCCAGAATGCTCTAGAATGAAATAACCATGCCTATGCACATTTCTGGAGACAAATATGATTGATTTCCTTACTTTACAATCTGTGCCTTTCTCCTGTTCTCACTTGTTTCCTACCTATGATATAAGTGACTACTCTGACATATAAAGTAAACGCTTGTGTCTTGATAACAAATGATAGGTCATTGGACATGCCTACTGCAATTTTCTGCTCACAAAAGAAACAGATAACAGTTGACCTAAATGTTAAAGGACATGGATTTTTCCTATATCTGACGAATCTGGACATGACTTATAAAATGGAGTATGGCATGAAATACTGGTAATATACATGAAGAATGAAGCTTGGCTATTTGGTAGTTTGGAGACTGGATCCTTTAGTATAGGAATCGAAAGCCACATTTGGCCTGAAATGCTACATGGGCTAAATGAGGTGGGTTGAGAGTGAATGGACCTTGTGGCATCCATATGATGTGCAAGTCTGATTCACCCTACACACCAGACAAAGGTGCCTAATGCGAGCTTGCCTCACATTATCCACATTTGGGGAATGCCCTGAAGTTGTAGAACTCACCTTCATTTTGGGCACAGGAAAACAGTTGGACTAGCTCCAAGTTGTAACTGCTATTTACATGTCCATCCTGTTTTCCCCAGTGTTGCACTGACCATGAGTATGATATTGCTGGTCCTCACTCATTGCAAGTGCTGACACTGACCCGAGTATCAGAATGATTAGAAAATGGAGGAATGAAAGAAGCGGCGATCTCTCCTTTCCCCATCCCCTCTCCCAAGTCACTTTGGTGCACCGGACAATATCAGCACCTTAGATGAGTGACGTCCACCAGCAATTTTGCATACTATGGTCATTGCTAAGCTGAAAACAAAATGCTTGTGGTAAGGATGGCTATCCAGTGGCACGAAAACAGGTTCAATATTGCTGAATGGCCACCTTCTCACCATCAGGCTGCCCTGGTGCTGTGCTATGCAGCCACACTCTGACTGCTGAGCCGTATTGAAGGTAGACTGTAGACTCCCATGAAGCTGATCCAGTGTACCTCACTCTGGATCAGCCCCAGCATAAGTGGCGTGTGTAGATATGCCCTTAGAGAGTAATTATTTTAAAATAGAAGAAGACTTAATTAATCGCCTGCTGGATGACTTTAGACCAGCATTTCTCAACCTGGGGGTTGAGATCCCTGGGGCGTGTTGCGAGGGGATTTCAGAGGGGTCACCAAAGACCATCAGAAAACACACATTTCTGATGTTTAGGAACCCCTTTGGCAGAGAAGGCTGAAGATCTCTCCATCTGCTGTCCTTCCCTTCCTTTTTAGAAACAGAGGCCCCTCCCACCAAAAGCCTGCTGTGATTGGCTGGCTTCTCGGCCAGCCTCTCAGTCAAGGGGAGGGCTGTTTCTGAGACTCCAAGTAGGGAGGGGAGAGCAGCCATGCTTGATGCATGGCAGCGTGGTGCACATGTGAGGGTGAGGGAGAGCATGCAAGGCTGGAGGGAGGCTCGTGCCAGTGTGTCCCTTCAAAGCAGGGGGGAAAGCACCCATGCAACGTGGGACTGACAGTGGCCCAGCAACATCTGGAGGAAGAGGAGAGCAGAATCATCTTAGAGAATTTGTAATGCTATTTATTAGAAAAAGTTAGTCTTTCCTTTTGTTTTTTGTTAATGCTCTCATTAGAAAATGCATAAGGATGTGGGTGAACTACAGCTCTCAAAATTGTGGGTCAGTCCTTTCCAAATCCCTCCAGTATTTTCTTGTGATCATAGGGGTTCTTTGTGGGAAGATTGTACCAATTCTAGCATTGGTGGGGTTCAAAGGGCTCTTTGATTGTAGGTGAACTATAATCAACCCCCCCCCCCCCCCCCCAAATCCCACCAGTATTCAAATTTGGGTATATAGAATATTTCTGCCAATTTGGTCCAGTGAATGAAAATGCACCCTGCATATCAGATATTTACATTGCAATTCATAACAATGGCACAATTACAGTTATGAAGTAGAAACGAAAATAATTTTATGGTTGGGGGTCACCACAACATGAGGAACTGTATTAAGGGGTTGCAGCATTTGGAAGATTGAGAACCACTGTTCTAGAAAGAGCTACAATATGTTGAATTCTGTATACGTAGAAGTCTCGGGGTGGGTGGGGAAAACTCCTGACTTCAGGCAAAAACATTTCTACTGTTGCCAAGGTTGAACATTCTACCTATCTCTGTCCTACAGATGTTCCTAAGCCAGGCTACAAAAGTCTGTCCCCAAAGCCCTGGTCCTTCTTCAAAATGCCCCTTCCTGGAAAATGAAGTTCTCACCACTCGCCTTCACAATTGAAAAAAAAATCAGCAAGGAATTCTGAATTTTGATTGTTTCTTCAAAGGGGAACAGGCAAGGAATTCTGAATCCGAACATTACACTACATCACAGCACTTGCTAATTTAAGAGAATCAGAGCATTGAGAACTAGATGCTGATGCAGTGGAAGCAATAATTCAAAGGAAAGGGAACAAAAGCTAATTAAATTTGTTTGCGTACATAACCTTAGCATTGTTAACAGTTGATTGTCCCAGGTTTTACAAAATAAAAATTAAAAAGCCTCAAAGCCACCCCACCCACGTCTTTGGTCTATTTTATAATTTTTAGTTTCTGCCTTTCA